GTAACATGCTTGCCGAGTTTCTGGCGCGTATAGAAGAACTGACTGACTTCACATTTTTGTTGATGATTTCCGAATCTTATTGTTTATGCTGAGTTAGTGCAGAAGATTTCCCAACTGGTTTCAGGTTGATGAAGTCGTACCTCACCTTTCCGATTCTGGCTGGCTGACTTTGACATCTTCATCCGTTCCGCATGTAGTTGAAACCATGCTGGTTGCCTAGATAAGTGAGGGAGGTAACCTCTGTTAAATCTCTCCCGTTGATGGTGATCGGTACTGGTTGTTGTTGTGGTTCGTTGGTAATCTTCATCACCCCCATTCTTCTCTGTGTCCACCTGAAGTCCTATCATTACTGCCTTTTTCGCTATTTTGTTGGCTTTCGCTTGTCTGTGAGTCTTCGAGTTTGTGTGACATTAAACATATGTCATTCACGAAATCCAGATCTTCTAGAGTCTTCTTATCAGTCAGTGCAGCGTATTGCTGTCTTCTCACTCCCCATGCACAGTCTTACGCACAATTCAGTCCGTCACAATTAAGAATATTATCGGTGATAATAGGCAGCCAGCCTTGTCTTACTCTTGTACTCACTTCAAAAGCTTCGCTAAGCTTGACATCTAGTATTACCATATAGCCAGCTGTTAAATAAAGTTGATAATGATTTGGGGTACACCATAGTGTTGAAGTAGTTGCCAAATTACTTCGTGGTCAACGCTGTTCAAAGCCTTTTCAAAATCAATGAATTTGAAGTAGAGGTTTTACTGCCATTCTGTGCTTTTTCCGATGATGATTATGATGATGAGTAGAGTTGTGATTTGATCAACGCATGATTTACCTTTCGTGAATCCAACTTGTTGTGGGATATTCCATAGTATGATGGAAAAGATTTGTAGCTCAGGTGGATGATTTTTGATGTAGTTAAGTTCTCTGAGCTGGATGGTTTATTTGCGAAGCTTTCCTTGCCCTACTAGGCAACATCTTCGACGCCTACTTCAATTTGAAGTGGTGGTCAAACCAAAACATGGCTTCATCAGTCAATGAAATCCACAGCAGTTAGTTTAAGTCACGTAGGAAGGTGTATACTTTCTGACTGGTTGGGGTTCTCGGTACGGTAAACACCAGTGGCTGGAAATAATTGGTGCTATGACTCAAAATCGTTCTCAATGGCGCATCCACTCCTTGTGACTTATAATTTGGAATAAAACTACATTGTTCTTCGATATTACTATTCTTTTTGTCTCATATATCTGTTTTACGTTTTTTTACTTTCTTCTCTTGCTTTGTGTGGTGCATGGAGAGTGGCGACTCAAACTGCTGCACGTCGGTGAAAAGTTGTACGTTGAAACCAGTCAGTCAGTCAGTCAACTAACTGACTAAATTGAGTTACTTACTCCTGTTTAAGTTAATGTTGATGATTAGGCGAGTACTGATTCTCACTAAACTACTAACAAGATTCCCCCACCGATAACCACTACCTTAATGCAGTGATTTAACTTACGTATAGCCATAACTCAAAAAGATACACTGTCTCGAATAAATTCTTTTCTGCTGGTTCTACTATCCCAAAAAAGGTTGCCCTCATACCTGTTGGATTAACATCAGATACTGTATTGTTGGCGGAATAGTCCATGAGCTCACTTTGTAACCTGAAGATCCTAGATATAATTCTGCTTCAGTGGTGCGGCAGTAAAGTGCTCGCCAATCACTTTGCTTCATGTGGTCTAGAGCTGGATCTCCGGCTGATGCACTCCTAAACCAACTTCTCTTCGTTGGTAGTAAGCCTGGTAAAGACGGAAGGTTGGACGTTGGGCTAGAAACTCCACTGCATAAAACAAAACCATTGCCACTGGGACTTTAAAGTTGAAGCTTGAAACCCTATGTTCCACTTGGAATGCAAAGGAAGCCATCACAGTGTTGTTGTGTTGTGCATCTTTGGGCAAATAGGAATGTAACAGATTCCCGCTCTGGAGTTGGAGTGGGGATGGGGCTATAAAGTGGTACATTCTAACTCTTATGCCGTAGTAGTTCGTAACCGGTGGGTAAGTTCATCATACAGTTACAACTCCCTAAAGCACTTTTAAGGGTAGCATTCCGATTTTCTGTGCAACAGAGTTTAAACAATTACAATTAGAATTATCGAACAACATCTAGTCACTTTATTCAATAGTTTCAGAAGAATATTGTAATGTGATAACGTAATACCGTGATTGTTATCAATAAAATCAGATAGAATATTAGATAATGAATAATAGATAGTGAACTCACCAGTGAGAAATAAAAATATCACGTTGATAGGGAGAGAGTTAAAACACGAAGCAAATATTAAATCAGTAGCATTACAACTAATAATTCTGAATATATACGGTATAAAAACATTACTTCAAATAAGATGTGAGCGTTGGTTGTTCAACGATAGGCAAGATTGCCAACCACGCATGGGGTCTCTGGACTTCGATTCCCAGCCTACGTACTCCTAAACCTCGCTTAACCAATAAAGAAGGAACGTTGAAGGGGAGGCTAACATCCTCACCCCGTAAAAGTAAACATCACTACTACGGAAACTGTAAAGCTCAAGATCGAAGCTTTATATTCCACTGGGAACTTAAAAGAATCTAACAAATAATCAGATGAAATGCTATCACGAACTGACATCAATTACAAAAGTATTAAATCCACTCAATGATAAGCGTACTGTTATCCACAGACTTCTCATGATTCTAATACTCAAAAGTGCATGTTTGTACAGGTCGAAGATTACTTTTCCTGGAATGGTGTTATCTTGGAGAAGCAGCTTCGATGATTTACGAATACGTTATCCTAGCAACTCTCATAGCGATCAATCCATTTTAATCCCGGAATTCATTTGAAAAGTCAGGGAGGTTGTCAGCTTATTATGTGGAGTGTCATAGATTGATTAAAGGATACTTGTATTGAATTAGCATCTGTTGATTTTGAATAATAATAATAATAGTGAAGTATTGATTTGTGGGAATTTGATTGATAATTTACAGGATTTCACCATGAGCTGACATCAGTTAGAGTACCATTGGAAAACTATCTGGGAATACTGGATAGCTGTTTCGCCAGCCTAGTTTTGGACTCCTCAGCAGTACACACCCACCATAGGTGTTTGAACCCAAGACCTTCTGGTTACAAGGTGGGCTAGCTTGTAGACCACTAAGCCACTGGGACCCGATCCAATTGCCAGCCCATGAATTCCAACTTCAGCTCATCATCAAATCCTGTAACCAATAATAATAATAATAATAATAGCTTTATCCAAGATAGTGTTTATTAAATGTACACATTCTTAGCAAACTTTATTGCATAATATTTTTTCTTCTTTGTTCAGTATCTTCAAGTAAAACAGAAATCGGTTTTAGAATCGCGTGACACTCCTTTTTCTGACCTTATGTACAAACCAATCTCTTATGATATTTCTTCTTTGAAATAATGGCGAAGATTTGTAGCTAAGAAGCATGATATTGAATTAGTTGTATTCTCTGAGCTGGTTGATTTAATTGTAGAGCTTCCGTCGTCCGCCTAGACAATATCTTCAGTACTGAAGATGTGGAATCGAATCCTTTTTTAGAATACTTTTTTATAGAATACTTATTGCTGTTCGCTAATACGGGATGCCGCCAACATTTATACACATCATCCAACGGTGATAAGACAACGCTGCATGCCAAGTAGTCGACAACGGGAAACTCACGGAATCCTTCGAAGTTAAAACAGGAGTAAGACAAGGCTGCCTACTGTCTCCAGTAATTTTTCTGATTGCGTTAGACTGGATAAACGCGACAGACAGTGAACAACGGGGAGACAGGCATCAAATCGACCTACACGATAAAAATCTTGGGGGATCTTGACTTCGCCGATGATCTATGTCTGATTTTCCACAAATTGGAGGATATGTAAGTGAAAAGCAACAAGTTGGCGATAGAACAAGCATCAAAGATGGGACTTCAGGAGAACATAGAGAAAACCGAGGTGATGATGAAGATTCATGACCAACAGCAACACCAACACTAACAACAGAAAACAGTCAACATAAATGGGAGGAATCTGAAAGAAGCAACCTCCTTTACCTACCTACCTGGGAAGCATCGTTTCAACTACAGGCAGAATTGATGAGGACATCAAAGCGAGGATCGAGAAAGCAAAGTACGCTTTCATTACTCTCAAGTCTGTTTGGAGATCAGCTGCACTCAGCGTGAAAAATAAGATCCAGATTTTCAAATCCAATGTGAAGTCAGTGCTACTCACCATATGTATCAGAGACATGGCACCGCGTCACGAGGGGCAATTCGAACTACTACTGCTACTACTATAGACCTTCATCACAAGCTGTCTTCGCTTAATACTATTCAAGATCAGATGGCCAGCCATAAAAGATCAGAAACAGGGATCTCTGGCAATGAACCAACAAACCAACCGAGCAGGAACCAATTGAGCAAGAAATATGCAGGAAGAAATGGAGGTGGATTTTTCATACCCTTAGAAAACACACCATCAATTGACATCACACGCCAGGTCATCACTTGAGTAGAAGCCAAGTGGGAAGTGGCGAGTTGGTCGTCAGTGTGAGGGTGATGTGGAGGAGGAGGACGTCATGAAAAGAGGAGATGAAAGCATGTGTGGAGATATGGTGCCAGGTGGTAAAAACGTTAACGGAGAAGCGATGGTGACCTGCGGCTGAAGCCGTATGTCCCTATGTGCGTCGGTGGCACAGTGGTTAGGACTCTCGCCGACCATGCACATGGTCCGGGGTCCGATCCCCTGCCGACGCACATCCGATATCTATGGTCGGCCTGCGAAATTTGGGCTACCGATATCCATGCTGAAAATGCCATACTTGTACTGAAAATACGGTGTGGTATCAAGCTGTAATCAAAATAATAAAAAAAATAAATGAAACAATGATAATAATAATATTGCCATTCTTATTCTTTTTTCTATCTGTTAACACTGTTAATATTTCTCCCTCTTCTTTTGTTTTCTAGTCTTCACCAGAAGTTCAAGTCCATGGAGTTGTAATACTAGTTAATCTAAATGGTTTTTCATGGAAACATGCATTCCATTTAATGTCTCCATGGTTTGTACATCGTGCTGTAAATTTTCTACAAGGTTCCAGTCCTATACGCGTTAAAGCTGTACATATTTTTCACAGTCCTTATATGTTTTCAAAAATCTATGCAGCTATGAAACCTTTATTAAAACCAAAAAATCAAGCCCGTGTAAGTTCACCTACTTTTTTATTTTTACTTTTTTATTATTTTTGAAATACACAAATTTTGGTACAATATAGGTGAGCATAAAGAGATGCACTACACACTACACAACGCGAGAATATTTGTCAAGATCAAACAGCATGCATCATATTACTGTAAGGGGTAAGGGAGAAGAAGAAAGAAGGCAATTGGGTCGTGTTCCCTACCGACTGTGATTCTTGGCCATATCTGATAACGTATCGATACACCTACTCGAATTATATTTCGACCCTCTACGAGACAGGGAGTCGTTATGTACTAACGTTTACTAATCTAACTACAAACATCCTTCATCCCACGGCTCCAAGTCATAGGTTGACCACCTTTGGGCTCTTACCATTCAGTCGCAAGGCTAGCGAACACAGACGTTGGTACAGAATCCTCTAGGATGTAGAATAGGATGTAGAATATGTCCAAACCAGATGATGACACTCAATGGATAGTGACCTCCACTGTGTCCAAACACACACTGCCCCAGACCTGAGAATTACTTCCACGATGATGCCATCGGATGCAAGCAATTCTATGGGAACAACAATGTCTCATTGTTTGCGCGGGAGCTGGGATACTGCCTGGTTGCCCCAGACCTAAGCAGGCGCTTGTCTTAAGAAGCCACCTCCAGAGCCTTTGAGCGCTGATGGTGATAGAGTGTATTAGGACCAGATTGGAGTAGAAGAGAAGAGAGGGACTCGAATTCGTGGTTGATTGAGTGAAAGCTTTGTAGTTTAACAAAACAGGTACGTCCCCACAAGCGAAAATCATCTCTCCATAGTTATGCAGACTAATATTAAGTGCGAGAATACTTTCTCATTTAAAATATTTCAAATAGAAGATTTACTTTTTAGAATGGATACATTCTTTACTTTGATTGGACACTAGGTAGTAGATAGCGTCATGTGTCTAGTCCATTGTTAATCGTATACTTAAATCTATATGTCAACTTTGCAATATGTGGTGGTGACCATCCTAGGTGGCTCGTTCGTGATCACACTGCACTCTAAATTGTTGTTATAGTTGTTTGGAAGTAACTGGATCTAGACTTTGTGCATATTGGCACTCGCCTAAAATCCTGAAGGAACTCATCTCCCTTATGAGATTCGAACCTGAATCACCCAGTGAATGCTTCAATCAGAGACGTTACCACTTTAGCTATTTGGCCTCAAGATCGGCGTCTCCTGTAAGACTGTATTGAATGCATTGATTGTACACTACTAGGTAGTTATTAGTGTCATGCGTCTAACCCTCCGTTTGTCGTTACAGATGAACCATCCAGCATCGTGACCACATTGCAAAATTGACTATTGGAGTTTAATCTGTACCAAACACAATACTATACGCATGACACTGTTTGGCACCTAGTGTTCAATCAAAATATCTATAACAGTCTTACAGTAGGCCAATCGTGAGGCCGAATAGCTCAGTCTTGACATCTCTGATTGCGGGCGACACTAGGAGATCCGGGTGCGAATATCAGAAGGGAAATTAGTTCTTTCAAGATTGCAGACGAGTGCCAACAGACACGAAATCTAAGTCCAAATCTTCCTGCCGATTACCTCCAACTATCTAAAAACATTCTATATCTGAGAGTAATCTACAGTTAAGTAAGAATAAAAACCTGCAAAACTGTCATCTCTTCCAAATAATCACTACCAATAGAAACACTGTCATCGTTGTGGAATCACTGTCTGATTGACTGGTTTCAACATAGAACTCGGCACAGATGTGCACCAGTTAGATTTGCCTCTCTCTATGTACCACACAAAGCAAGAGAAGAGAGTAAAGAAAGGTAATAAACAGAAACTTGAGGGAAAAAGAGTAGTAATATCGAAGAAGAAAAAGAAGAATAGACTTTTACTGGATATGACAAAGCACAAAGAGTGAATACATCTTCACCAACATCAAGAACGATTTCGAGTCATGTCCCTAATTGTCTCCAGCCTTCATTGGTTCTTACCGTCTCGAGAACCCTAACTAGTAAGGAAGTCTACACCTCGCTACGTGGCCTTCTGGCTGGCTTAAACTAAATATGATGGATTTCATGGGTTGTTGATACCATGTTTTGGTTCGACCACCTCTTACCGGATCCTATGTCACCTTACATTACCCGTCGAGGAAGGCAATAACTAGGCATACATGCATAACAAATGTCCTAACCGTCTCAATCGATGTAACTTCACAACCTCGTCGATTGATTTTCCCTTCTTACCTAGCACTCTACCGATTCCTCACCAGCTCAATAATACTCATCCTATTACACCACCTAACACAGGAGATAGAAAGCAGATCCTTATGATGAAAGACAGCTAGTGGGCCTTTTCAATGCCCATATCTCATTCACAGACATAGAAGTTCGATGGAGTGAACTGTTGATGTGCAGTACACACATCCTTTGATCGACAGTCAGCCGGATATTACGTTTACTAAGCCAGAGAGATGGTCTAATTATTATATTATTATTGTTTCCTTTAATTCCTAGAAGAACATAGGGCTTTAACCGTGCGTCTCCATTGTGTTCGGTTCTCTGCTAGAGTCTTCATCTGACTCCAAGTCTGCCCACACGCCTTCATCTCCTCTTCACATGACCTCCTCCAAGTCACCCTTGCACTGACGACCAACTCGCCGCCGCTTCCCTTTCGGGTTCCACTCGAGCAATAGCTTGTCTAGTGATGTCACTTGATGGTTTCCTCAGAGTATGGCCAGCCAATTCATCTCCATTTCTTCCTACCTATTTGTTTCACAGTCGGTTCCTACTGTGTTGGTTAGCTCATTGCCAGAGATCTCTGTTGCTGATCTTTTCTGGCCATCTGATCTTGAGTCGTATTGAGCGAAGACAGCTAGCTGTTAATGAAGGTCTGTAGTTTGTTTGAGATGCTCTTTATGACGCGCAGTGCAAGTCTCTGATCCGTATAGTAAGTGGCACTGACTGACTTCACATTGGAGTTGAAAATCCGGATCTTATTTTTGATGCTGAGTGCTGACTGTTGACCCCCACACAGACTTGAGAGTAGTGAAAGCTTGTCTTGCTTTTCCGATTCTTGCTTTGATATCCTCATCAGTTCCGTTCGTCTGTAGTTGAGACGATGCTTCCCAGGTAGGTAAAAGAGGTTGTTTCTTTAAGGTTCCTCTCATTTGTGCTAATCGTTGTCTGTTGTTGTCGCTGTTGTTGTTCTTGTCCAGGAATCTTCATTACCTCTGTTTTTTCTATGTTCACCTGAAGTCCTGTCTTCTTTGGATGCTTCTTCTATCGCCAACTTGTTGCTTTTCGCTTGCATATCTTCCAGTTTGTTGGGAATCAGACATATATCATCGGCGAAATCCAGATCCTCCAAGTTTTTTGTGAGAGATGGTGTAAGCTGGCAACAAATACAATCGTGACATCAAATTCAAATCGATATTATAACGGATTCATGAGTGAACGTGAATTCACAAAACTTAACAACAACAATATTAAACGACTGAATTATTATTAGTAAAATGAAACGCCACATTTTTTTCAACCTACACACAAATATTTCTGTCAAAAAAGAATCGTAATAATAATAATAGTAGTAGAAATTATCTTGAATATTCTGTGTAAAAGGTGCTTTTTGATTTTCACCGAAAACTTTGATCAGGTGATTTTGATCATATTCCATGTTGAAATGTTTTTTTGTTGTTGTTGGTTTCTTCATTACGATGACACTTCAAAGAAAAAAAAATTCCAATGCACATGACGTTAATGATGGAGCTTATTGGATTATTCAATACACATTATTCCTTCTCCAATGATCAATAAATAGAGATGTTGAGAAATGTGTGCTCAATTTGAAGGAATCGACTTGTTACCAGGGAATAGTCTTATGGACTTAGAATATGCAGATGACATAGTCCCGTTAGGGGAGAATGCTGACAAAATGCAGAGTCTTCGTATGTTTGGCATGCGATTCGCCCCTGTAAAATGTAAGATGCTGCTACAGGACTGGACTACGCCAACTCCTAGCTTAGTGATAGGGAGTGAAGTGATAGAACATGTTGACCACTTCACCTATTTGGGAAGTTGTATCAGCACCAACGGATTGATTGGTGACGAAATCTCAGCACGGATCCAAAAAGCTCGAGCTGCTTTCGCTAACTTACACCGTCTCTGGCGTAGGCGTGACATCCGACTATCAACCAAGGGACATGTGTACTGCTCAGCAGTTCGCTCCGTCCTTCTCTTTGGCTCTGAAACATGGCCAATACGAGTTGAAGACATGAAAAGGTTGACTGTTTTTGATTATAGATGTCTACGATCTCTTTCTCACGTTAGGTGGTATAATAAGGTAAGTAATGGTGACGTTAGGTTAGGCGTAGAGTGTTGGGCAAAGAGGGAAAATCAATCGACGAGGCTATAAAGTTGCATAGATTGACATGGCTAGGTGACGTGCTGCGCATGCCTAACCATCGCCTCCCCCGACGGACGGGCATTACTAGCTGATGATATAGGTGCAGGTTGGAAAAGAGTAAGTGGTGGCCAAACAAAAACATGGCCTCATCAATCCATGAAATCCTTGACAGTTAAACTGAGTCAGGTAGGGAGATGCAGACTTACGGTTTGGGGCCCGGCCCGCCCTCGGGACTCTAAGAATCAATGGCTGGAGACAATAGGTGACATGGCTCAAAATCGTTGTCAATGGCTTACGCAGATGTATTCAGTCTCTGTAATCTTTTATCTTCCTTTCTACCATGACTCGCTCTGTTTCACTCTTATACTTGTCAAAACTCTATTGATTCTCTCTACTCATCTTCTTGTCTACCTTTGTGTGCCATTTGGAACGTGGCAACTTGAACTCCTGCACTTCGATGCCAAGTTCTATGTCGAATACAGCCAGCCAGCCAATTTGAAGGGAGTGGTTTTTGAAAAACAATCTATTATCCCTATTGGATTCTGAATGGAATATAGGGCTTCAATAGTATATCATCGTTTTATCCTGTCCTCAGCAGTCCCC